ATTTTAGTAATTTTAGAGTAAAAAATAAGGCTATATAATTAAATCGTCGGAACAGGCAGGGTTAGATTTATCGTAATCATAACAATAGAGCCGCAGTCAGCAAAAAACCGGAATAAAATTAAGGCTAGATGAGATAAAACCATTTAGTATGATCGCAGATAGATCAATATGGATTGAACAAGAGTCAAGGTGTGAGATAATGCAATGTAGCCCTAATACCTGTGCAGGATTGGGTTGATCAACGAGGAAAACACTTTCACTGACTAATTGCATGATCTCTTGCCGGGTACCCTCCCCATTAGGTAGACGAGCGGCTGCGTCACGCACAAGCTCGGTAAGACACACTCCAGGTGGCCTGTCAGGCCGTAAAAGGGGATGATCGCGAGCAGTTCGAGTTCCACCACTGCTGCCAGTGACACCACTAGCAGAGCCTGTTCCGGATCCAGTCGCATCTAGAGAAGAGCCCAATGCCAGGGGAGATCGAACAGGGCCTACAACACTGGCATAGTCATGTTGCCGGTACGTAAATGAAGCTTGAGGCCGAGAGTAGCGCATTAACTCCTGAAAGTAAAAGTAAAAACAAGCGGATAAAATATAAAACGTATATTTTATTATAATAACTTTACTACTTTAATGAAATAATAAGTAGTACCATTTAACAGGCTATCGATACAATTCATAAGAAAAAGAAATATTTGGGAAAATTACACAAGTACTACAGTCGTATCGATCAGTGAAGAAACAAATAAAATATAGCCATTAAAATGGAGGCTTTAAGATTAGTTAGAACTCAAAATTGGCGAAATTGAAGAAACGTACAATAATAATAGTACTTTTGAAAATGTTAGACCAAGGAATTTGCTTATCAGCACCATAAATAGCTAAGAATACTGTTTTGGGGGGAGTTGAAGGATCCTAACTATTGAAATTAGAGGAGCATTCTGGACAAAATCCATCTTCTTTGGTCAATTAGTAGATAGCTTTTATCTGTTATATAACAAGAATGAAATGAGAAGCATAGTAAAAATAAACTTATATTAATTAAATGATCTTAATAGCGATATTAGCAGATACTAAGATAAAATAATAGAATATTTAGAAATAAGGGTTCATGAGAAAGCAAAATCATATGTAAGCAGCCTTTGAATAGGTCCTCTTTAGGAAGAATGCGTGTTATCCTTTATAAACAAATTGGACTATCATAATAGTACATTGACTTGAGGGGATGCTTCCACTTGAGATTTAAACTGCAATAAATTTAGTGGCAACTTTTTATATAGTAGCTAGCTTCCTGTACAGCCTTCCCATGTTAGATTGTAAATAGGTACAGAGATGTTCAGTAGATTTTAAATAAAAGTTAAAGTCGTTATGTTATTAGACCGAACCATATCATTGTGGGATCATTTAGATACTAAGTTTGGCCAACATAGAAATGTGTAGAGACTGGCAAAATCTAAGCAT